GTTAGACTGAGTGATGCGAATTAACATAGGAACATGTAAAGACAGTCTAATGGATCCTGGGTAATCCGGCCATTATTGGTTCCCGGCAATACTGACCTGGTTGTGAGACGGTTAGAGAACTGTTACGTTACTGTACAGATTTAAAAAAATAAATGCTCAAATTAACATAAGAACTTGTAAAGACAATAAAATCATTATATTTATTTGTATTAGACTTCGTTTTATCAAACAATTTATATTTTCATTTAAACATATTTTATTGAAAATAAAAAAGGATTGAAGGGATTGAGCAAAAGTTCTTACAACTTACTAAGCCCTCTACCGACAATTTATATCGGTTTTACATGATATAAGGGGGCGGACTATGTCCTGAACAAGTTGGATCTGTAGACAATAAAGACTTACCCTAAATTGGAACAGTATCAAGAACTGCTCCAGATACAGAAATAAATAGTGACAAAAATGGGAGATAATATAATCTATAAAACTGTGGACGGATCGACTAAAGAACTCCAAGAGCAAGGGTCTTAAGATAACAACCTTATCTTGTCCCAAATCACCAGAAAAGTAGCATTAGGACAAATATCTAGACTAGAGGGGCACGAACGCCCCGAGCCCACAAAAAAATAAATAAATAAATAAATAATTTAAATGTAAAGCTAAGCTACAGAGAAGGCCGGATGAGTTCTAAAATGAACCTGATATTCATCAACGATGAAGGAGTAGCAGAGAGTTTCACATATCGCCCGAGTCTCGTAGTTCTATCTCCCTGGTGATGGTATTATACCTCGCTTCCTACACAATACTTAACACGACAACCGTCAAATGGCAACGATTCACCTTTCATAAAGGGGAGTCTGAAATGTTAAAAACAAATTGCAACTGAAATCTAGATAAATGTGTAGGAGTATCCGAGGCATGAGATTTATCTAATGCAATAAATAATAATAAAATAAAGCAAAACGTTCCAGTTAGCAAGAATCAAACGGAAATAAAATTCAAAAAACAATTACGCCTACCTACCTGTCAAAATAATAACCAATCCTAAAAGTATGTTCCCTCTCAGACAATTTGAAATACTTTCAAACCAACGATATAAACAAATAGAAAAGAAAAAAAAAGATTGATGAAGATATTGCAAAGATCATGAGCTATTATTTTGCAAGCGTTTTTCTTTAAAAATGAAATTCCTAATAACATTACCAACCGCCCATACCATTATCACTGCATTTTTAGTTTGAACCCTAAGTCCAAAAGTGCCTTGTTCATTGTATATAACAAATCCATTCGAGAAGCAAGCAACCAGAACTGTGAGAAAAGGCCAAGGGATGTTGCAGCATTTTGATTTTGCTATCAAGGGATTGTATAATTAAAGCATTAGAGATGGGTACCTTGCAAAAAGTAAGTAACTCGGGGACAGAAAATAGACTCCATTTATTGATTCTTAAACTATATACAAAAATGCAAAAGGCAGATTACCCAAAACCTCTCGATAGACAGCATTATTTAAAAATAAGTCGTCTTAAAATCAGCCTATGGTTTGTTGCGGTTTCGAAAAATGGTCGGCCTTGAAATTTGGCAGTTAATAAGAAAAAAAGTTCGATAGCTTTGTGATTGTGCATCCCGGCTCCAAATTTTATCTTAAAAAAATGAACAAATAACACGATTTTTTACGGTAAATAGTTTAAATATTTGAAACAATAATGCAACTAGGACATGGACCGTTTAGAGAGTTTCAGAAGTAAAGCGGTCTTGAACATAAGCCGTACACGTTACACAGTCGTAATGGCTTCGAAAGAAGACGAACTCGAAAATGAGACGGTTTCGAAAATAAGCCAGGTTTTTCTTACTAAAAACGATTTTTTAGGGTATTTCAAGTCGAAAGAAACATCTCTGGGTGGAACCCTTTTGGTGGTACATTTCTAACGCCGATATCGCATGTCCGATACCATGCTTGTACGGCGGACGGATGGAGAGTTGTTACACCGAGATAAAATGGCAGGTTTTCGTGCTGCAAAGAAGGTCGTTTTTCGCTGTAGAGTTTGTAAATTCCTACTGGATCTGTACCCTAGATATAACTAAACCCTTCTTTGTTGTGTACACGTAACAGTTGAATATCGACACTCTGAAACCATACCAGCCAGGTCGCCGTAACATGAATATGTTTTACTGCTTTCCACTATAATCTGTCAGTCCATTACTCACTAATAACACGTTTATGTTTCGGATATGTGACAAACGCGAAAAGTTGATGTTATTTTCAGACCGCCATTAAGAGAACCGTATCGATCAGGAGTAGACGAACCTGTAATTCTGAAACACTAAGTGACAGTGATTAAGCTTGATACCAACTATGTGTGTCATTACACGCCGCATAACAAACTTAACTGACCGAAAACGACAATTCGTGACGTATATCGTTTCCGTGTCTGCCAGGAAAACATTGCCGAGCTTGTTCATATACGTAATGGATTAAGAGTAAGTCTACCTTCACCATTGCCGGACTCTACAATTCCTGCTATCTCTAGAGTTGATAGTAATAGACTTGTCCCCTTGTCATTTGTTGCCACAATGATATCGTCTGGATAGCATGTCTCCTCTAGCATACGCCTTTATTCTACCCCTGATTGTTTCGTCCCTCATCCATCATTCACGTTTCTCACCCTCGTCCTTTCTTCCATTCCTCGTTCCTCATCCACATTTCGATTCTACATTCATCCACCCTTCATATTGTTCGTTCGTTATCCGTCTTTCCATTCCTCATTCATTCACTCATCCCATTACTTCCCCCAATCCGTAATTCTTATTCTCCCACCTTAACCTTCCTTCCAGTTCTTCGTAACATATCCTACCTCAGAGACGTATTTTGATATGTCATTGTCTACCTATTTCTTCTCTTCATCCAATCTTTCCATTCCTTTCATTCAGCCTTATTATCCTAACCCCCCCCCCCCCTCCTCCTCCTCCTCCTCCTTCTCCTCCTCACTTTCGACTCGTCCTCCCCTATACATCCCCTATACATCTAATCCCTATATAGGGTATGGAATGAATACCGTTAAACAATATCGTACAGCACGTATTGGCTTGAGACGTATTTAATCCCATTGAAATGTCAGTTTCGGACAGTTGGCGTGAAACCATCACAAACCATCACTTACTGTCTTGGAATGTCTGAACGTGACAGGGTCCGTGATTCCTGATCGATACAATACGCGTAATGGTGGCCAGAGTGTAACGACAAATTCGAAAGCTTGTCAGGTGTCCGACAATTCACGTGTGATCATTCTGTGACACAAAATAGAACAGACATGACACACTGATGTTACGACGACCCGATAGGTGTATTTTTTGTTATGATAACTCGATTAATGTCGACGTTTCTATTTTTGCTGCTGGCAATTCTCAGACATCCTCGCTACTGACCTTTCAACCCAGGTCCGATGTGGATGGACACTTTAAGGTCACTGTGTGTTTTTTAAATATAGGTCGTTCTCTCCCATACTGTATCATGTAATAGCGATTGTTATCAATCATAGTATTTCAGTGAACATACAGGGATTGGTCGACGGAAGTCATATGTCAGAGATCGGTCAACCGGAACTGAATATTGAATATTTGATCATTCGCGATGAAAACTAACAAGTACATAAAAGGAAAATGTGAGCGATTTTCCAAAGCACCAAGATGAAATTAAGTATATATAACAAAGTGTAGGGATGACATTATACATATCAGAAAACATGAAGATGAAATCAAGTATATATAACAAAGCGTAGGGATGACATTATACATATCAGAAAACATGAAGATGAAATTAAGTATATAATATAGCATGAAGATATAAGTATATATACATGATCGAAGAGACCCTCTCGTTTTGATATTTTGTAAAACTAACTTAGCCGATTACAGTATGGCGGACTATGTCAAAACGACAAGTACGTAAACATGTAACTTTTTTTATTCTATTTCCTTCCTAATACCGGTGGCTACATGTTTTCATTGTTCAGCTATTTTTCACAGTGCTCGTACTGTGTATCGTCCCATCTGATAAAAAAATTACGATGTCGGTCTAACCTCGGGTTTGTCGAATACCATGTATTCCTCGAACTATTGATCTTGACCCCACGAGTTCGAGTTACCGGGGTTTTACTGTATAGCAAAGCATGAAGATAAAATGTGTATCTTACAAACCATGAAGACGTAATATATACACACATATTTTCTAATGTCATTGTCATTCTGTCGAACACCTCCGGTGTTTTTTTTATGGTATTTTGGCCAATTTCTAAAGCAGTGATAGGTATTCAATGATCTCTTAAGGGAAATTTTCTTAACACTCTAGTATGAATTGCTGTTCATTGCCTCTATCTTCATTACATAACATCTCCGTCTAATTATATCAGTGTTACTTCTATTCCCATTTCTACACTGAAGCTTTTGATTGATTGACTTAAATTCAGGTCGAAAAAAAGGTGAGATAATGCAGTAAGCAACTTCCTTTTCCTTGAGTTTCCACAATTGACATGTCATAATTGTAAAGATTTCATTCCACACATCAAATTGTTGAACTAAAAGAGTTGTTAAAGTTACCGATTTTTGTGCCAAATTTCATAAAAGCGACATGTATTGGAATTTGATGTAATAATCTTGACCATTTTTGACAATTAAAAAGTAACTAACAAAGTGTATTAACCATATTCAGAAAACAGGAGATTTGACGTCAATGTTGACGTATGTATTGTTCTGTAATAACGGGAAGTGAATTGTTCATTATCTGCAAGTTGTACTTTGTCGCAAGAATTAACGAAGCAACGCTATTTCTTCATTTTATTTTGTTTCTATATGTATTTTTTTGTTAATTGTAAAATGCAACGAAATTATTCAATCCTTGTATCTTGATCATAAAATAATATACCAATTATTAAAGACAGAATTCGGTCTACAGAAATACAAAGGCGAAATTTGCAATAACTATAAAAGGAGAAAGAGAAAGGCAGCGGCCAGACCGGGATTCAAACCCAGAACCATCCGAACTCTAGTCGGACGCTCTACCAACTGAGCTACCTGGTCGCCAGCGAACGACTCAGTCTAGTTGGGCTACATTCTTCCCTCCTTTTTCTACGTCTTCGTCCCCGAAGACAACAGTATTTACAGCCCAGGTTCGGGTATCCCTTTGCTATCCTATGCATTAATCAAGTAATTGAAACAAGGGTTGGCAAGCTCCCCACGTTTGTAGCAGGGGAAAGAGAAAAGCACCGTTCAGATCTGGATTCGAACCCGGGCACCTCTGAAATATATAGAGACGCTGTACCAATTGAGTTACCTGGTCGCTGAAGATCGACCCAGTCCAGTTTCGCTACAATGGCATGTCAGACATGCATCTTTGATGAGTATTTAATCAAAATGAGATACAACATTAGCTTTAAACGGAGACGTGGTATAAACGTTGTTTGAATCATATCATATGTACATTATATTCTTGTTGTGTATTGTATCACATGTAATTGTTAAGGAAGCAAAACAAAGTATCGTGACTTTTGTTAATTCATTATCTTCAATATAATCGAGTGGTTTAAAAGTAATAATTACAAGATATTATAATATCAATTAAACACATGGGTCGAAATACATCAGATATAATTGCTGAGTAATAATCACATTACAATAAAAAAGCGAAGATTGGTCGACAGAGGTAAGATTGTATTGTTTACGAAAAGTGTATGCGACAAGGTCTTACTTAATTTTAACGGCTTGAAGACTTTCAATATGGCGAAAAAGGGTAATTGACAAATTGTGTTAGCTGAATTTAGAACAGTAAAAAGATATCATAGAAATAAAAACAAATAATAAGTGAATAGAGAAAAAACCCACTATGGGCGGTCAATTGTCTTGTAATATTATCAAAAGTAGTAGGAAATTGCCGCTTTTGGCGCAGTGTCATCCGGTGCACTCCCCTATATAATCCTTAGCACCCCTCCCTGGCACCCCCCTATTGGCACCCCTCTTTGGCAGGGGGGTACCGATCGATGACGTCACAGGGGGTTTCTCATGTATTTGGGTTTTCCTGACTGCATCTATTGATAGCGACAACCTATATACGAGGGGGTACCGATCGATGATGTCATAGGGGGTTCTCATGTATTTTCTTATATAGCGATCCGATTGCATCATGTTTAAAAATACCCAACCGGTTATGAAAACCACAGCGAGAAAGGCATACCGTATTCCCCATCCTACTTTAAATCCATGCCATTATTGTAATAAATTGATGTAAATGACGATTAAATCGGCTACAAATGGTCACAACCATGGTCTCTCCGAGTATGCATTTTTTGTGTGTTTACTGAAGCGGTTGTATACGTATATGCGTCCACTCTGAGTGTGTATTTTTAGCGTGTACACAATTGTACAGCTGTTATCTCTAGAGGCCCTATTATGATGACGTCACGGGCTTCCCCCGATTGCATCATCCGGTGCGATCCTCTATATATCGTTACCACCGTTATGGTGACGTCACGGGTTTTCCCGATTGCATCACGTTTTGAAATATCGAAACCGGTTTCAACCGGATCGGAACCTTCTAGCAGCATAATACAATAACAACACAAATATACGTACAACATGTTATTGTCTCTGTCAATAGAACAGACACGGGTCAGAGAGCCATCCACACGTCCATTCATACAACGAAGGGATATCTCTCGTTATTTGTTTATGTATGACTCCGTCGTATAAAAACAATACAGACTAGGTCACACACACGTTGTATGTTAACCAAGCATTTTACACTCATACAAAACTGTATTATAGCATTTCCTACGTTCTTTATACGTATGCCAATAGTACTCTCACTGTATGTGTGAATCAATCCCACATGTACATACGCTACCAACAGACAGACAATTGTTAAACAAATATCGTGTAGAAAAATGTAGTATGTTCGAGCAATTCACTGTTTCAAAAACCACAATTACAAAGATGTAATTTTGTTCTTTAGAACCACTCAAGCTATAAGGTACATCCATTTTTTTTACCTTTTTTTCCTCACACAAGAATGAATTCCATAGCTAAGGGGAGATAATTCATACAATTTGTAACAAAGAAGGTATTCAACGATGATAAAACTGACCGAGACTGGATTGAGTACTGTGGCATTAATTAGTAAGATATGTAGGAGAAAACGTGGAAATGACTTATCCTCGACTGTCATGGACATGCATGTACAAGTATAATTGATAAACATGTTAATACTTAAATGTCTCGTATCACCCGACTACACAAACAATTCAGCTTTTATTCATTTTTCATGAGTCTATGTCCCCAAATCATCTGATATGTCTCTCATATCATACTTTTATCATTCTTCATATACACAAACACAGATCATGAATGCTTCACAATTAGATGATACGTTATATACATCTTTTATCATGTATTAAACTTTCCAAATTAATAATCCAGTGCAAAATATTTACAGCAGTATTTATGTACATATGAACCTTACAGGGCGACAAGTACATAACGGGTGTTCAGTCAGGAACAGTCAAACCACCTGATATACAGGTAAATAAGTACATCAAATATCTACCTGATATACAGGTAAATATATAGTTCTCAGAAACCTATCATAAAAGGAGCACTTTACAAACATATCGTTAAAAAACAACAGATTTCGGGCGAAGTGTCAAATAAACCATAATGTCAAAATTGATAAAACTACTTTTGAAAAGTTTTGGAATCTTTGGAATCCAATACAAATGAGGTAGGTCCGTTTGATTGTAATACAGGGTTATTTGCTAGTATTTTATCGTTTCGAAAAAAAATTGGAAAATGTATAGGCAGAGTTTCGTTTGTATCTAGCAACCCTAGTGCTTTCTGCAAGCAGGCAATATATAACAATGATGATATGCAGACGAGCAATATCATGTTTTGTATTTGCCAAGTTGTAATTGATGTCGATATATCCTATCTGTAGCCGGATAATAAACTAAAGTCAGGTAAAAATTAAAAACTGATTTGACCATCCGGCTGTACTTAGTGTCATGGATATGGGCTACACTAAACGTTACTGACTAAAGCAATTACAATCTACAAGAAACGGAATGGTAAGTTATCATTATCGAACGAATTCTTAAAACAAACACTCATTTTGATTAATTTTAGTCTTTTAAATCCGTTTCGAGTGCTGTTAATTGTTATTGCCACTGACTGTTTTATTTTTTGTGTATTCATTTTTACTGGTTCAACCCTATAGAAACAGATTTAAGCGTCGAACTCCATTGCCTACAGTTAGGGAAAATCAATACAATGAAAACATGATACAATTAGTGTCAAAATGGTGTTCGATGTTTTCTTCTGATATAATAACCTTCTCAGAAATGATCATAACTTAAACGGGTTTGTTTAATTTTAGACTTATACCAGTTTCTGTTCTATTTGACCTATATTGAATTATTTGTGTATATTGATTATATATTTGCTTGTTTAATCCTAGGAACGGATTTAAAAGCCGAAAAGTTATAGCCAATCCAAGAAAAAAACAGTCACGTGATTCCCGACGACTATATTGAACAGACTAAGGATAATGAAATAGAAACGCGATGTTAAAGTAAAAGTGATCTGACGGAACTAATTACGGCAGCGGAAAGTACCACTAAAGGTAATCAGAGATGTCAAACGTGTAAAATTGTCTTTTTTTATAACTGCCGATGCTTGATTTGTTTATCTCAAAATTATTGGGCTATTTAAACACATTTTAATAATCTTGAGTGAATAGTAACATAAGTAAACATATTGAATATTTATATTTGCTCTAATCAGGGTTCTGTTTCCACAGGTATTGATGGACTAACAAAAGAAAATCGGGAACTTCGTGAACAGAAGAGATGTAAGGTTGGTTTTGACGAGGAGGCTAGTATTGTGTTCATTTGGTCACGTGTCCCATGTGTGGCTCGGCCTTACGGAAGTGTCCAGTTTGTCGGACTTACATCAGAGGCACGGTCAAGGCTATCATATCGTAATCTACCGCCCCTGTTCCCTTTCTTTAGCACCAGAGACATTCTAACAGATATAGGTCTATTGAAGGTCCAGTTCACACTGCTAAATATAACCAACCGTGGTGTAGCAAATCATGTTTCGGCGTGTACAGAGGGTCGAGCGTCCGCGGCGCACAGCGCCGGAGGAGGGCCAGGGTGTGGGAGGAAAACAATCCTAATAGACCCTAGAAGCAATATCCCGTACTCTGGGAACTCCAGAAAGACTGATTATTAACAAGTAGAACCTTATTTTTTAAATGAATAATATTAAATTTTGTACTTTACTCATAGTTTTTTTTATTAACATTAACCTTCGAGATTTGTCAATGTGTATAGACATACCTTAACGACACTATTGTATCAGACTTAAAGTTTCAAGAAGATTTTTTTATCGTTTTTTTTATGATTGATACAGGCGGTCCATGTTAATCATAAAAAAAGAAATTAATAAAAATATATGATTAAAAAAAGATTGAACATTTTAGTGTATGCTTGAACATACAAGCATACATGTATGCTACGACATGGCCACTGACATACGGTGTCGGTGTTCTTCGCTAGCTAACCTGTCCTTTATCCTACAACAACAAAGATTCCACTAACCTCATTGGAATGCGTTGCATTTAATACTACAGGAAAAACACGTCTAATATTTGTTCAACATGTGCTATGTTTCTAAAAATACTAAATATCATTTCAAAATCGGTAAGGGATCTATTACGGTTGCCGGAAATCGTGATTTAATGCGAATGTTGCCACTTCTCTTGTTTTGATATATTAGAGCTATCTAGTCTTTCATCAGCCTTAGTGTATTACTGAAATGGTAATTACGAACCAGGTTCCTAGTTGTACGAGCTGACCTTTAGGATGTGATGCCTATAAAAAGATTCGGATGTCAAGGAGATACATGGTAGCGGTGAAAATACACAGACCTGTTAACTCATTATAGTTAGTATTGTAACAGGAGGCACGGCAGCCTAGTGGTAGGATGCCGGGCTCGTGACTGAAGGGTTGCGTGTTCGAGTCACGGAACGG